ATTACTGTGCAATTATTACTTTCTCAGCATTACCGAAATTCGAATTAATAACACAATTTAGCAATTTTCTGTTGTCCACTCACATGTGCAATTATTACTTTCTCAACATTATTATATTTCGGTAATAAATTTGCAAAATTCTTATTATACTAATTTAATATGCAATTTGTATTTTCCAATATTGCCGGAATTCCACCATAATTAAACAAACTTTTCCAAATTTTATAACCTCACTTTTCATTTACATTCTTCCACGTGCAATCATCTTGAAATAAATTTTCCACTCTGATAATGCCATTTCCTTATGTAGTCTTCCACGAACAATTTTACTTCAACCACGCGATTCTTCCTTTTCTTCCTTCTTTTTTCCCTATTTTATTTCATCTTTACGTGACTCTAAAGCAATCATAAGTAAACGATCGATTCTCGTGGTCTGATCCTCCCACGCGAGTTACCTCAAAATTATGGAACTATGCTCGAGACGTCTCGTCGTTAAAACAGGGAGCAGACACTAAACTGCGACGGTTTAGGTTACGAATTATTTTTATGTTACGCTGGAAGATGTCTCTGAACTCTTAATACTATCCTGGCTGCGCGGTAATCCGATCTCGGTCGTTGTTCTTCCATCCTTTTCCCTTTGACCGTTTCCTGGAATTCAAACTATGTCTCGTCACAAGGATATTAATAACAAAAATAAAAGTGAAAAGAAAATAATGCGATAATAATGGAAAACGAATTTAGAAAATATTATACATGAATATTATCCTTTGATTAATTTAACTTTCACATAGTGCCATCTCACGGACAAAGACGTCCATTATCGACCGATGGATTTCGAGATTTATTTGAAAACACGCCTTCCATGAAGTCTCACTCGATGAAACGTGAAACCACTTAAAGCACTCGGAGTTTAACTCAATCGAGTCTCCGTTCTGAGAATTTCTCGATTTTAGTACCAGAGCGCGGAATAGTTTTTAATTTCTCTCGAACGAAACAATTAACCTCCATACAGTTGACCAGTTAATCAGAATTGATCCCAATTCAGAGTCAATTACGAATTATTATCAGTTTCTACCGTAACGACACATATACGCACAATTCGATTTATTCAAATCGATCATTTATTTTCCATATACTAAGATAACAGAATATACGCACAAACATTTTCCACTAGTGTTTTATGGAATTTTAATTGGTCAAAAAATATGTAAGAACCTGAGTCATATATAAAATATGGTAAATATGAAATGAAATCGAATTTGAATAATCTGGAATTACTAAGAACCGAATATGGCTGATGAAATTCATTTTTGCCATTTGGCCACGCATTTACAACGATGTAAGAAGTTGACAGTAGCGACGCCTACATCACGTGACCTACTATATTTAATCGCAATATTTACGACTTGCACGACTGTGCCTGTCACGTTCCGCGTTTCTATTGGATTTAGCGAAGATGCATGTGACATTATTTATGAATTGGAAACTATCGTTGATAACTTATATCGAATCACGGGAAATCGTATATTTCGCTGTCAAACGGCGCGTCGTGAAGCGATTAAGGCACGGTGGCGTGAGTTGTTCTATTTCAAGTTGCGGTTCGCTTGGTATTGTCTCGTCGCGTTTAGTTCCACCGGCCGACGTTCGCGGAGAAGTAGAGGGAGCTGGGGGACTAAAGTCGAAATTTCAATGGCGGTTTTAGCGGTCTTTTATTGAAGACGAAGGTCGTAAAGATTCTACGTACAGTGTAGAATAGAATGACGAATTTATAGTACTTGAATCGGCGCAGATGAGTTTAACCTCTTGAGGACACTAACATGTATGTACCATCAATTCTCTCTCTCTCTTTCTTCTTTATTTTTTCTTTTAAATTCCAATACTTTTATCAGAAGTAGGAGTGAAATTCCAAAGGAGTATTAAATTTTACTTTTTTATTTTTCCCTTTTTCTTTTCTTTTGTCTATGAGAAAATTGAAGTTTTTAATTTTTAAATTTATGTTTGGTAAAGAAGGAGGATAGAAAAAATCTTATTTTTGGAAATTTATATTTTGAATCTAAATATTCAATTATATGATAAGTTAAAGTTTTGGGATTTGAAACTATTAAAATGTTTACTTACAAGCATTTCTGCTTGGGATAAATATTGATATTGATAATAATGTGCTTTGGTGTTAGTATTTGGATTAAATATTATTATTCACATTTTTCTGTCGTACGATGTGCTCTCGTGCTTTAGTTGTCAAAGAAAACACGATCTTAACAGTGGTCAATAGCCACTTGTGGTTCGTTTACTCGTGCTGTAGATTTATCTTACAATTATTTGAATTTCTTTCATATACCAGATAATTCCAACATTTTTATACACTTCCTATAATTTTATTGAACTATTTCACCTCTATTCATCTTCAAATATTATAAAGAAAAAATAAAAATTTTACATAATCTATAAAATTCTGTTCTGTAATGAAACCTATAACAAAAATTGTAAAATAATTTCTTTACCCTATTATGTAATGTTATATATGTGTAATATCTTATATATTATGTAGTTTATAAAACACAGAAATTCATGAATGTATTGATCCCAGTATTGATTTAATTACATATTAAATTTAATTACATATTTTTCACATTATTTTTGTCTAAGGCATATAAAATTGGTATATCTTTTCTATTTACTCTACAGTTCAAAATAGTTAAAAAGTTAATGAAAAGTTTATGCAAAATATGATAATAAAATATTGGAAATTAAATAGAATATTTTATTACGTGCGGAAAATGTGTATGTCATTATCAGTGTCAAAAGCATCGAGTGGCAAAGAGAATTTCTATTATTTACTTTACTATCTTGCTAAAGATCAACGCACGGCCTTGTTTATTCTTGAGTTCCTCTCTTATCTATCGCTTCGCGACAAATGTCCTACAATATTTTGTTTCATCAATCGTATGCCGAACATACTGCACGTGTCTTCCACTAACGACCTCTCCAACGATTTTTGAAGGAAGAAAATCAAAAGTCAGAGAATAAGGCAGAATTCTGGATAAAAAGTAGGTCCTTTTATTCATTCTGTAATATAAAAAATTTTTCAAATTACCAATTAATATACTAAATTATAAATTATAAGTAAAGTAGACTTTCAATAAGATTAAATAAAGAGTCATATTTGTGCCAAAAAATAATTTGAGATTTTATAAGCAGTGTTAAAATTTATTTATAATTTTCTGTTTAGATATTGAAATAAATGAAGTTGTAAGATAGATATATAAAAGTTAAATTACCAAATGTAGGTTTGGTTAAGAATAGTATGTACATTTTTAATTTTTCCTTTTTTTTTTTTAAATGAAATTTTGTTGTTGTGGAGTCAAATTTTGGAATTATAGTTTTGGTGTATTATTTTTAATGGTCCGACAATTGGCGATACGTATCATTCATATTTTTCCTTTTCATCCAGTTAAAAGCATCGATACATTATCATACAGGAGATTCCCAGCTTAATCCACTAATGTTAACAGCTAAGTTGAAGTAGATTGTATCAGTCAAAATAAATATTCCCAGTACATATTATCGCCAGTGAGTTACAAATTTAATTAAATATTCCGTTCCTAATCAGATTTCAACACCTGTGTGTACTACTTAAAAGTCTCTTCTTTAATGTTCATATTAGGATTATTTAATAGCAATTTTTTATTCTAATAAAAATAATTGTAAATACACAAGGAGTTAAAAAATTTGCTATTATAATTACAAAGACATTCAATCTGGCTTTATTTCAAAATATGTACTTATATTTTTATCTTTTTGTAATTTTTAATTATTTTTCTGTTCTTTATATCTCACCTTTATAATTATGAGAATTTTTAATTTACCGTTCTCCATTTTAAATTTGCAACTTTTTCATTACTTTTCTTAATTATTATTTTCCATTCCAATAAATCTCAATTTTGGTGTAATATATGTTACTTTACTTCCTTTGTTTTATTTTCATATCATTATATCATCAAGTCACCACCCTCTCTTCTCTGAAAAAAAGAATTTGTTAATGAATATGACACTGAAAATATTATGTTCAATTACTGAAGTATTATCTACTACTCGTTGCATACAACAGCATGATGCAATGTCAGTTTCCTTATTGCAAATGAAATGAAGTGTTCACATGTGTGTGCACATCTTTTTCTCTGTGGATAAATTATAGTTGTTTAATAATTGTTTTATTGTTTAAAAAGTACCTTCAGATATATCTTGCTATTATCTATAATAACTATGATTCTCATAGAAATTATTATTCCATGTGGTGTCATTTTATGGTGTAAGAGATTGAGTAGATAATATAGTATACATATAATATTCCAATAATATTATAGGAAATAAAATGTAATGCTCAAATTATTCAAAAATTCTAATAACTGCTAATTGAATTTTATATTCAGTTTAAATTAAAATAACAGTATTTATCTATTTCATCATTTCACGAAACGACGAAAGTATTAACGATTCATGATGCAACACTTTGCCAATAAAATTTAAATGTAGCTTTTCGTGTGCAGATATATTTCATATATCCCAATTCAATGTGAGCTCTAGTAACACTCTCTCACAACGTAACAGAATTTCGACAGTTCGATTGAAACGAATCGTAGGCGAATAATTCGTTCAAACATTTAAGTCTCTTAAACGGTGTACCTCTCTTTAACTAACCTCGCATGCTCGAGTGATAGCGAGTATTTGACAATCGAACTCGTATTTCAGTCAAGTTCGTTTCGATATCCATCGTAAATTATATTAGACAAGCCAACTCGATAACGCGTTCACGTTGTTCGTACTCGCACGCTGCTTCAAGCGATAACTGCTCCAGTGAATGACGTCACGGAGAAATGCAGAACTGTGATTGGTTGGCCGGCGACGAGGTGAAGCGTCACGGTCGCGGCGGTGGGGGAAAGAGCGCGCGCGACGGTTGAGTAAAAGAGGGGCGACTGCGTGAGGAGGGCAAAGCTGTCTGGGCGCTGTGCTATTTTCATCGCCGCGTTACTGCTGGCCCAGATTCGATGCGACCGTCACGACGTGAACGTGATATCCGACTTGTCCGCGAGTTCGCTGGGCCTCCCGGCTTCTACATCCTCGCCTACGATCGCCCGTAAAATTCGAAAGAATTCGCTTCCCTCGTTCGTTGACCGCGACGTCGTCCTTGTGCGCGCGAATCTCCAGTCGAGTCGAGTGATTGTTATAACCTGTAAAGTTAGTCGGAGGAAGTTCGTCGAACGTCATTAACTCGTCCGTCTATCCTTCTTTATCTGCCTTGTGCGCCGACCCCTCGAGAGAGAGCGTGTTTTTATGACCTGCTACGGAATCTTTACGAAGTGAAATCGTGCACGACACGCAGTGTGCATAACGCAGTGTATGTAAGATGTGACTTCCCGGCGTGCATCGTGTGCTCTCCTCACGCCGTTTGTCGAACACCACGACTGTGCGACGTGCAATTTCGCGTCTCCGTTGTAATAACATATTTCGCGTTGTACGTGCTTCGCGCGGGGAACCAGAGTTCGAATACACCTGCTCACAGCGACGAGGCTGGTTGGGGTCGTCAAATGACCTTAAGGTACGTTTCTCATGGTTACAACACTTTCTTTGCTCTCTCGGGCCCGTCACGTGGCAGACATTTTCACCCGATTATACCCGATGGCTCATTCACGCCTCGCGGTCGGGCAAACAGGTCGCACGCATTCCTTGGCATTGCGAGCCTCTCATTAGCGTAAGCGTTGGCAAGCGCCGATTATTAATCGACCCGTGTAAATGAAAATGTGTTACAACACAGAGTTGAACCGTCACGCTACTTTTTCCTCATTTGACGTTCTACGCTTGACGAGAGTCTATATAGGCGGATATAATTTATTATTTCAGTGGCTACGATTCAAACCATGCGGTATACCAAAACAATTCTAAGCGTTGATATTTAGAAACACCAGACGGTGTATAAATACGGCTGTTTCGAGTTTGTTTTGTGGTTGCTTTTTCTCGCATCGGGTGACACGTTAACACACTTCTTTTTTCGCAACGACTCGCTCGTTGCGAATGCGCCACAAAAAGAGAACCGAATAGTCGCGCGAATAGAACACGTTGCCCGTACACCCCTCTTGCTTCTTTTAACGCATAGTTTTTTTTTCCCCTCGACAAGTCTCGACGCGTTCTCTCCCGTGTATACGTGCACTATCGTCGCTAAAGCCGCTGTTGTATCGTCGCGAGGCATGCGTGATCGATCGACCGATTTTTCTCTCCGTGAAACGGCTCGTACGTTCCTGCTAAATGCGGAATCGGCACGTGGGAGTATACGTGCCCGTCGCACGGTGTCTGTTCGTTATTTATCGCGCGGGCTTTACGAATTGGTCCAGAAGCCGAGTATAATTGTTCCGGCGTTTCTACTATTTTTACCGACACGCTCT